GCATGGAGAATCAGAACATTCAGGAAAAAATACCTAGAAAGTAACTATATGAACTTTATAATGCTGTATTAAAATTAAGGCCCTTAAATTTGCTTTATAGCAGCTGCATAGTCTGAAAATACTTACGAAACCCACAAAGGATTAACAGGCCGTTCTGAATGTTATGGTAAGGCACAAAAGAAAATTGATAATACGATAAACTTTTATTGATGAGAAATCAGTAGGGAAAGATTAAAAAAATAGTTCTTGAGTGTATCTGTATTTTAGCCCCCATGATAGTTTTAATTTAAATTTAATATAAAATGTGTGCTGTTTTTGTTCTTTTTGTGTTTGTTTGTTCATTTTCAAATAACCGCTTTGTCTTCCTGTCATATCTCTTTGCAGAATCCAGATTCCAAAATGATGCAAATCAACCTGACTGGTTTTTTGAATGGAAAAAATGCTAGGGAGTTCATGGGGGAGCTATGGCCACTGCTGCTAAGTGCACAAGAAAACATTGCTGGTATTCCAACTGCCTTTTTGGAGCTGAAGAAAGAAGAAATAAAACAGCGGCAGGTAGGACTTTATTACAGAACTGCAGGTCAATTATTATGAGTTCTGTACAGAACTGGTGGCCATGCAGCCATTGACATTTAGAGGCATTTTATATGCTGCAAAACTCTTATTTTTGCAACAAGTATTTTAGTCCTATAGTAATAGATTTTTGTGTCTTTGTTGTTTGAAATGGACTTTGAAGATCTCTATTGTGTTTTGAGTTAAATTATGATATTTTGTTGGTTAGATAGAGCAAGAGAAACTGGCTTCTATGAAGAAACAAGATGAAGACAAGGAGAAGAGGGATAAAGAAGATAAAGACAACAGAGAAAAAAGAGACAGATCCAGGAGTCCGAGAAGGTATTGTTAATGCATTTGCAGATCAGTGAAAATTCAAGTTTGAAGATACTCCCATGAGCAGTTTCGGTAGATTAGTTCAACTTCTGTATGTCAGTGCTGCTCCAGTTTATTTGCAATTTCTGTTTTTTAGTATTGTTTACACAAATAACTATTTTAATGATTTGTCTATTCCAGACTGTCTTTTAATTATTAAAATTTGAAAATATATTTGGCTGCCAACCTGTAGCAGAAAATCTCTAGTCCTTCAGCTGTTGTAGCTAGTGTAGTACTTGAGAGTCCAGCTGATTAAGATGAAATTTGAGCTGTTGAATAATCATAGTTTTCTATTTTTCATATATAGTTTCATTATGTTATGCTTTTAAATGACAAATCTTTCTCCTAGACGCAAATCAAGGTCTCCTTCCCCTAGAAGAAGATCATCCCCTGTCAGAAGAGAGCGGAAACGCAGCCATTCTCGCTCCCCTCATCACAGAACCAAGAGTCGTAGTGCTACTCCTGCACCAGAGAAGAAAGAGGCGACTCCTGAGCCAGAACCCTCTGTAAAACCAAAGGAGACTGTTGTTCAAGAGGCAGCATCAAATAGGTGAGTGTGATATCTTAGCGTGTAGAATTCCAGTACCTGTTAAAAAAAAAAAAAGATATATATATAAATTATTTTAATGTCTATGTAGAGCTGAACTTGGAGGGACTATCTCCTTCTCCCTGTCCTGCTGTGTTGTCAAATTAATTTATTTCATACTCTTCAATAAGATCATTTTACTGGTTGTTTTTTCTGCTTCTGATGTTGTCAGTTTGTTTCCTTGCAAGCTAACACATAACCTGAATATTACTCTTTAATTTTCTTTGAATCATTGTACCATATTCCAATTGTTTTCATAGTTTTGGAATTTGGGATGCCTAAGATCTTGTCAGATGGACAAGACACTGATAATTGCTGAAAATATCTAGTCAGCTTCCAGAATGTTTCTCCAATAGGTGCAGTTCATATGTGCTTATAAGTTTCTATTTAACAGTGACATCCCCAAAGTTCCCAAACCTGAACCTCCTGCACCTGAGACTAAGGAAGCTTCACCAGAGCGTAATTCAAAGAAGGAGCGAGAGAAGGAGAAAGAGAAGACCCGGCAGAGATCCCCAACTCGGTCCAAATCAAGGTCAAGATCTCGGTCACGTTCCCCATCTCATTCTAGACCAAGAAGGCGTCATAGATCACGGTCAAGGTGGGATTTTAAGTTACCTGGATTGAAGACTGAGACCAGAATGCTCTATTTCGAAGTAGCGATGTAATGTAATCAGTTAAGTTAGTGAAAATTTTAGCGATGATTGTAGATGTTTTAGGGCAACTGAGAAGGTAAGATCTAATGAATAAGCATGTTTTCCTCCTAGTCATTTATGAGAAAATGCTGTGTTTAAAGCTTGAAAATCTTGGATGTGGTGGAGGGGGTGTGTGTGTGTTTAGCGTGTATGTTGTTTTCTTAATTTTACTGCCTAGTAGAGAAGTGGGTTTTTTGTTTATTTAGGTTTTTTTGGTAGTCTTAAACCCTCTTGATTTTGACTAAATATACCACATTGGACTACAGTCTAAATGCTACCTTTAAGGTAATGCACTTGGAGCAAAGCAACTTTAAACTTGATTCCCTGAGCATAACTTGCCTCAAATTTGTGGAAGAGTAGGTAGTTGCTTTTCATTTGAATTTGATTGTGACAGACCTTACTCTCCTTACTCTCCTAGAAGGCGACCAAGCCCAAGACGACGACCGTCTCCGAGGAGGAGGAGTCCTCCAAGGCGGATGCCTCCCCCGCCCAGGCACAGAAGGAGCAGATCCCCTGTGAGGCGGTAAGATTCCCATTTTGTCCATTTGGAAAATGCAGAATTTGAAAGTTGAAGGGAACGGTAGTTGTGAGAAACGAATATTATGAAAATTGTTCATCACATGTCTCTGTGCCATCAGTTATGTAAGAGTTGAGTGCTATAAATCACAATACCAAGTGTGTAGCAGGAACCATTCCTGACATTATGAAACAAAATCTTTTAAAATGAAAGAGTCATGAGAATTTCATCTTCCTATTTGAAAAGAGACAGTTTCATCATTGTAATGCCCTGGATAGCTCCAGGCATAGACTGACATGATGTTTTTAAATTTATTTTTATTTATTTTTATTTTATTTTTTACTTAAGTTTTCAGTGCTCTTTTGTTCCCTACGGGGGGAAAATTAGAGTTAAGTTGCTTTGGATTGTACTTGTTGGGAATTTTAAGTTAAGACTTGCTGTTCCATTGTGTATAGTTAAAGACTGTCAGGATTTTGGCTTAAAATTTATTTCTTCCTCATGATATCTTAATTAAAAAAGAATAAATAAACTGTTTTCAACTCTGCTGCCAGCTGTTGAGGTTGCACTTTGCCAGCTTAAGCGATTGTATTGGTAGCAAAACTCCGAGTTATTTTACTGAATGACAAATTATGCACTGACAGCAGTGTCAAAATGGACATTATTCTCTCACTAGAGTGGTGCTTCCTGTGCTGAAGCAGCTTTATAAAAGATGACTCTCTCTTTGAATTGTAAAGATGTTCATTCTACCACAGTTATTGGGAAAACTGAAAAGTATCCAACATGTATGTTGCAAGATGTACAAGAACTCCCTTTCAGCAAATGTTTGTCTCACTCAAGGTAGGGTTTCTTTCTTCCAGGTTCTCAGGAATTCTGCAGCCAAAGGTGGATTCTGCAGGTACACTATTGCAACAGAACTTGCCACAAATTTTGCCGCAGAATTCTAGAGGCCGTACCTTTCAAATTATGAAGTAAAAATGAAAGTCTAAAACAACACACAAGAACAGATTCATTTAGAGTTGTTAAGTTGTCTGATTTTTTTTTTTGGCCTCCTGATATGATATGAAAACTTTTTTTAGTGTACTTGCACACTAAACTCTTAAATGACCAGTTTAGAGGTCATTAAATCACGTGCGCTAACAAGGAGATCTCTTTTAACCATCCAAAAGCTAGAGAGCCAAAAGAAAACTAATTGCTCCTGGGAAAAAAAAAAGTCTGTAGATTGACAGAAAGCAAGCAAAGGTCACACTAACAACTTGTTGCTCACGGTCTTAAAAAAAAAAAAAAAAAAAAAAAAAAAAAAAAAAAAAAGAGTGACAGATAGATCATTAATCTCTTTTTCTACAAAACAAGTGTTGAAGGCTGTCCACCATGTTTTGGAAGTGTTCTTTTATGTGGCCCTTTAGATGTGCTTGTAAAGGAGTGCAATTCTTGGTGTTCATGCTCAAATATTTCCTGAACTGGCTGGTCAGAATCTTAATGTTTTCTGTGATTTGCAGGAGGAGACGGTCATCAGCATCTTTATCTGGCAGCAGCTCTTCCTCCTCCTCCTCACGTTCCCGATCACCACCAAAGAAACCACCTAAGAGAACTGTGTCCAGCCCTCCTCGGAAAACACGTAGGCTGTCTCCTTCTGCAAGTCCTCCTCGGCGAAGGCACAGACCATCCCCCCCAGCAAGTCCACCTCCAAAACCACGTCGGTCTCCAACACCTCAACAGTCAAATCGTGCAAGAAAAAGCCGTGGCTCTGTTTCTCCTGGCAGAACATCAGGTAATCGAATATGAATTGTCTTTCTGCAGCTATATCGTCTTGTCCTAATTTTTCCCCCATCATGGGTGGTCTTTATAGTTTGTATGGGCAGAAAATCATGCAAGAATGTGAGAAATTGCAGTTAAGTTACAAAAAAGCTCATCTGAATTTGTCTTTTAGCAACCAAACATAAGAGTACTGAAAAGAGAGAATCTCCTTCGCCAGCACCAAAAGCAAGGAAAGCAGAACTGTCTGAATCGGGTATGCATCTTGTTTTCAACATAAATTTGGGGTGGTATGGTGTTTTTTTTGTTGGTATTTCTATGGTGGGGTTTTTTTTTTTGATGGTATTTTTATTTTGTTACGTCTTTTTGTGGTTTGGGGGTCTTTTGATCAAAAGTGCATGAGAATATAAGGTAGTGGTAAAATCTCCTGTGAACCTCGTTTTCAAACTGGTATTGAAAACATTTTTAGAAGTAGAATTATTCATGTTGCCTCAAATATTTCCATTTAAACTTTCTTGGGAGAAATCTCAGCTGTAGTATGTAATCTGAATTGAGCATTAACCTAAGATGTATGAAAGCGTGCTTGATTCACTGAAATATTGTTTCAATTCTGTCTGAATAAAGCAAGTTTGTATCTGTGTTTTTAAATACTCTGTGTGTGTGTCTGCTTTTCAAGAAGAAGATAAAGGAGGTAAAACGGCTGCAGCAGATTCTGTGCAACAGAGGCGCCAGTATAGAAGGCAAAATCAGCAGTCTTCATCTGGTATGGCTAACCTACACGTCATGAAACTGGATTGTATTTAACACTTGATTTTTCTTGCACGGATTAATTTTGTATGTCGATTAAAATTTTGAGTAGTGTACAGTGCTATTGTAAACTTACCTGCAGACTTACCACTCGTACAGCAGTCGTTCTTAATTAATGCTTGTGCTAGTTTGATAAGGAAGAAAGCAGAATTTTTAAAGAGTATAGTAGTAAGTTTTTGTTAAGAGGCCTCCAAGGATAAAAAGCCTTTTGAACAGTAGTATAACTATGTCAGCATAACAGTGCTATGAGAAAAGTTTTTCAGGGATTAATTCTCTTGTACTTACAGATTCTGGTTCATCGTCTTCATCTGAAGAGGAACGGCCTAAAAGATCCAATGTGAAGAACGGGGAGGTCGGCAGGCGCCGCCGCCATTCGCATTCACGCAGTCGATCTCCTTCTCCGCGAAAGCGACAAAAGGAATCTTCACCTCGGTAATTTCTTCTTAAGCTGTGCTTATATATATGGGGGTGTGTTTTTTGTGCTGTGTAACTGTCATCCCAAACAGAACAAGTTTGGTCCAGTTAGCCCACAACTGCCCAAAGAGTATAAAGATAATCTTTTTTTTTTTTTTTTTTCCAAACGTTATCCTGGAAAGACAGATGAGCATCTTGAGGCTGTTTGGTAGGATTTTCTTCAAGTGAAGCCCCAAGTTTGTACGTATTCTGGACTGCAACACTTAGCTCATAGTAGAGACTCCCAAAAGACTTGGTGAAAGTTCACGTGATCCTCTTTAAAGTGCACATGATTCCTCTGGAATCAGCCAGGATGAATTGGGGATTTTTGCTTTCATTGTTTTTGTTGTTGTTTAAGGTTTTTTTCCTACCAGCTCTGCCTCTTACACTTTTTCCCAAAGCATCTACCACTGCCATAAATGGGATGCTGGGCTAGCTGGACCTCTCATCTCTTCAAATTTCATTCTTGTTATGCTCATTTGTTGAAAATTAATTGGAGCTTTACTTGAGCATGTTCATTTTTGCCTCAAAATGTGGCAAATAGATTTTTTTACGCTTTGTTTCTTCCTCCACTGCTATCAGGATGCAGATGGAAAAGAGGTGGCAATCACCAGTGATGAAAAGGTTGGTTAGAAATTAATCTGTTACCTAGGATTTGTATATAAAAGACCATTTAGGCTCACTATTTTTGTCATGGATAAGTATTTGCTATCTCTTTTGCCTCGGACTTGCATGCTCAAGGTTAATAAATGAGAGGAATTCGGACTGTTCTATTAATGCCTTGGATCCATCTTCTTCACTGTCAAAAAAAAAATTTTTAATTCAGCAACAGAAGAAACACCTGCCCCATGGTCCCTCGTTAATCACTGCTTCAAGGAAATGTGCAATGGTCAATAACACGTGGCCTGTTGTTCCCTGAAAACAACAACACATTTGTGTTCTTCCAGAATTTTCTTATTCCATATACAGTTTTAAAGCCTGGTGAACACAACTCTGTTTTTGTTGCCACTGCTGGTCTGGATAAAACCTTTTCCTAGACCTGCAACAGTTGATAAAGAGATTGTTACTGTGTCCCAGATGACTGGAATTTCAGGGAGTCTTGTTCCTGTGTCCTTTAAGTATTTGGAGCTAGTAGCAGACATGGGCACTGAATAAGAACTTTTCCCTTTATTACATAGGCAGTATTTGTATCTCTTATTTGTGAAATTACGTGCTCGGTAGTGAGCCCAGAACATAGGGAGTGCAAGAAGCTGAGTGCATGATAAATTTATTAATCTGATTTAATATCCTGTGTGAGTAACCTGTAATTGAGGCCTCGCTGGAGTATTGTTGCAGCGTATCTGATCTGATTCACATGAAGTGTGACTGTATCTTGCAACGCAGACCATTATTATTGTGGATCTTGTTGCTTGCTGAGCACTCTAGAATGTGGAGATACTTCCAGGTGTTTACAAAATATATTGTTATTATCTTCTGCAGAAAGCTGCAAGTGCTTCATCCTAGTCTAAATTTTTATCTTAGTGTTTAATTAGGGCAACCATGAAGACTCGTATTCCTTTCAGCTCTTACATTAATTTTGTCTTTTGGGGCAAACTATCTATACAAAGTGTAACTGCCTGCCTTGGAAAACAGCAGTCAGGGCATTTGGAATTAAATCCTCGGTAGCTTGTGATTTAGGTGAGCTGTCTGCTTTGTCTCCCACCAAGCTGTGCTGCCTTGACTTTGACTTTCTTGTTGCTCTTTTGTCCTCTTTCCACATCATTATTTATTTGAATTGCTGAAAGTATTTTTCATTACAAAGTACTTATTTCCCTCTCTCCATAACTTCATGAAAACGTGTTTGATCAAAGTTCCCCCTCCCAGAAGTCCGTAAAGCTCTCTGAGAGCAGAATGGCTCATTTTGTGAATAACTTGAATCCAAATAGCAGCAGTTAGCACCAACTCTGACTTTTCTCAGCATTTCAGGAAATGGTAAGTCATCCTAGCTTTCAGATCTGTAGATAAAGCTGTTTCCAAGGGTACAGTTTCACACTATGCTTAATCTGCTTCTACTTGAGGCTGCTGCTGGGAGTCTTTCTCCCCGAAGCAGCCGGGAATTCCCAATCCCTCCCTTGTGTTGGATCTAGCAGTTGTGTTATTGCATGAGGACAACTTTTTATTTATTAGTCGTCTTTTGGATCAGTGGGCACGTGTGGCTTATTATGTGATCACTAGATTCAGTGCAAGGGAAATGGTAGAAATGTGGAAAACAAGAGAACGGGGCTTTCTCTGTGTCCACTGGTTGCAGATCCATCAGGTTAAGCAGACTGAGAAATTGTCTCCGCCTGGTGTAGCGGGTTCTGAAAAGTCTCTCATGCTTCTTAGACATAGACTTGGATGTAACTTTCCTGTTAGTAGTTCTGATAGAATTTAATTTTGGAGAAGTGCATGAACACGAATAACCGGCATAGAGAAAACAAGAATAAACCCCCCAGCCTTCCAGAGTCCTTTCCAGCTTTTCTGAGTCCGGCCGTGTCTCTCTCCGCCTCGCCGAAGGTACCGTCTTGCGTCCTCCATAAACCGCCTTCTGGGTTGATTGCCTCCCACTAGGTTAAAAAATAAATGCCATGAGCTAGGAGACCTGTGCCTTGCTTCCCTGCTTACTGAGGAGAGTGGGTTTGGAAGTGAGGTCTCTCTTATTTTCTGTGGCAAGTGTGTGGCCTGGGTATAACACACCCATTCAGCTTATTTTCCAAGAAGTTTGCTATCAAATAAGGTTTTAAAGATTAAAAATAAAAACCTTTTAAATAAGGTTTTAAGAGAAATGCTCTCTTAATTCTTCCCAGCACTGGCCACGCTGCCAGGTGACTGCAAATAGTTCACGTCTGTGCTAGCTGAGCTCCTGTTTCTTTTATACTTCTGACTTCTCTTCCTCAGACTAGCACCTTGCTGAGAAATGCAGCTGGGAATGAATGTGCGTGAACATGCACACATACACACTCTGCTCTGTACATATTGATCTTAGCGAGTCTGGGAATGTGAAAACAATTACAAAAACTTCCTCTCTTTTTGATAGGTTGTTCAATTTGGTTAGAGTTTTCTGACGTCCTTACTGTGAGGGTGACAGAGCCCTGGCACAGGCTGCCCAGAAAAGTTGTCTCCTCTGGAGATCTTCCAAACCCACCTGGATGCCACCCTGTGCTCTAGATGGCCCTGCTGGCGCAGGCGGGTTGGACTAGATGATCTCCAAAGATCCCTTCCAACCTCAACCGTTCTGAGATTCTGTGTGATTCTGCTCCCCTGCAGGTCTCCGTCGCCGCCGCCGCGCAGGCGCTCGCCCTCTCCCCGGCGCTACTCCCCGCCGATTCAGCGGCGCTACTCGCCCTCGCCGCCCCCCAAGCGCCGCACGGCCTCTCCTCTGCCGCCGCCGAAGCGAAGGGCGTCCCCCTCTCCCCAGTCCAAGCGCAGGGTCTCCCACTCGCCGCCGCCGAAGCAGCGGAGCTCCCCGGCTGCCAAGAGGCGCTCCCCGTCGGTATCTTCCAAGCACAGGAAGGGGTCTCCTCCCAGCAGGTCTAACCGGGATGCGCGTTCGCCACCCCAAAACAAAAGGCATTCACCTTCACCTCGGCCTAGAGCTTCTCACACCTCTGCGAGCCCCCCGCCGCTGCGAAGAGGGGCTTCAGCTTCACCTCAGAGAAGACAGTCTCCATCTCCAAGCACTAGACCCATCAGGAGGGTGTCAAGGACACCAGAACCTAAGAAAACAAAGTAAAAATGCTCTAGCTTGTTTCTTCTGTTTTTATTTTGTTTCTTTTTGGTGCAGCAGGAGGAAAAGTTAGGTTCAAGTGGTGCTTGTATATCTGGATGCTGCTCACATACTGATGGCTTTGTTTGGTTTCTACCTTCATACAGCCAACGTGCATTTTCTGAAGCTCTTTTAATAGATGCTTCTAATCTAAGTTCAGTGCAGGGAGAAGCTTTAGGGAGGATTTAGGTAGAGTTTGCGGGATCTTTTAAGAGCACAGAGAAGCACTGGAACTGAGCAAGCAGAAGCAACAGGGGATGTAGCTGAACGTAACGTCTTGCACTGCCTCCGTTGGATGATAAAATAACAAAGCTATTCCGTTTTAACGTGCTTATAAATTAATCACAACTGAAGAAAGGGAGCAGTCGTTCCTGAACAACAGCACTATTATCCTTTTACAAGCTATCAAGTTGCAATATCCTTTTGCATTACTGATCCACAGCCACATTGGATGGTTTAGCCTTTTGTACCAGATGCCGCCACAACAACTAATCATTTTAAGTGGTAGCTTAGCCAAGTTATAAACACACATGTTCAGTTTTCATCACTTGAACTTCTTTTGTCTCTCAATGTCTAACGCTAGTATTCAAGTGTGGCTGTTCTGTTGCAGGGCTTCCACGCCAAGTCCGCGCTCTGCCAGACGGGTGTCTTCATCACGATCTGCCTCGGGATCTCCGGAGCCGGCGCCCAAGAAGCACCAAGGAGCTGCCTCTCCTGCTCGGTCTCGTTCACCTTCTGCAAACTGGTCACCTGCAAAAAAGGCTAAAAGTCCAACTCAGAGCCCGTCACCTGCAAGGGTATTTGTTTGCTAATAATAGCAGTGCTGTTTTGGGTTATATGACAAATTGTTTTCATCAAGACCTGCTTACTGAGCAGCTCTATGCTTATTCATGTGCCAAAAAAAAAAACAGGTTTTTTTGGCTTTTTTTTTTTTAGTTTAAAAAAATAAAATCAATTTGCAGTAAAGATGTTTAAATTTAAATATTTATAAATATGGAAAAAAGTGCTATCATAGAATTCTAATTTATGGAAGAAGCCTCTCCCATTTCATGGAGTTTCTGGGATTAGTTAAAAAGCATATTTCACTTAAAATGAGTTCCATGGTCTACAAAGTGAGGAGGTTTTGAACCTGGGTATTTTGAATCAAGGATTATCTGGTGCCTTCCCCATTATTTTAGTGTGTTGAGTGAGGACATGTCCTTTCTTTACTGGGGGAGTTGTACTCCACTGGCAGTGCTCATTGCTAGGAAGAGGTTTGAGTGTCCCTGCTGGGAGCAGCACATCAAAATATCCCTCTTGTAGAATTGCTTTTTCCAGTTGATCGGAATGTGCCTTTCACCCCTTCTGAAAACTGCATATTGTTTGGTCAATCTGCTTCCCCTAGTTGGATTGGAGTCTTAGCTTGGCAAAGTATTACAGTCTCAGAAAAGAGGTGTAATATCTGTTGAATTGTCTCCACTACAGGAATGTGTCTTTCACCCGTTCTGAAAACTGCATGTTGTTTGGTCAATCTGCTTTCCCCAGTTGGATTGTAGTTTTAGCTTGACAAAGTACTACAGTCTCAGAATATCTGTTGAATTGTCTCCACTACAGAATTCAGATCAAGAAGGTGGTGGGAAGAAGAAGAAGAAGAAGAAGGATAAGAAGCATAAAAAGGATAAGAAGCACAAGAAACACAAAAAACATAAGAAGGAGAAGGCTGCAGCGGCTGCAACAGCTGCTGCTGTGGCTGCAGCAGATACCACCTCAGCACAGGAAGACCAAGAGGCAGAGACAGAACCCAAAAAGGTAGGGGCTTGGTGTTCACCTTTCCCTGTTTCACCCGTGAGGGCAATATGAGAAAATAGATGGAGATTAATGTTCACAGCGAGTGCTATTTGTGTTCTAAATAAGTCTTTGTCAAAAATGCACCTTAGTGTCCCATGATTTTACTTGCTGAGTATTGGAATGCTCTAGCCTGGTTATTCAGTGTTTGAAGAAATGTTTTATCTTTGTTTTAAGGAGACAGAAAGTGAACCAGAAGACAACCTGGATGATCTAGAAAAACACCTGAGGGAGAAGGCACTGAGGTCCATGAGGAAGGCGCAAGTGTCACCACCATCTTAGGCTGAAACCTTTGATATAATGTACATTTTCTTTGGTTTGTACTCAGAATTCAATTTCAAATTGCTAAATGTGTTTGAGCTTTAGAATATAACATTTGTTGTAATAATTGCTAGGTTGAGGTTCACCATGTACAAAGGGCATGGATTTACATTACAAAAGGTGTCCACAGTGTACTAGTGACATTCTTTCATTGGCAGTCTACATAATTTCATTTAGAGTGAGACTTTTTAGAAGCAGTAGGAATTTTGTTTGAAGGTTTTAAACATGGCCATCAGTTCCCTAGTTTCTTTAAAATTCACCCAAACCTTTAGAATAATTTGTGAGGGTCTCATTTGATTTCTTTTGTACCCCATTACATTAGGCTACTAACCTTTGTGGTTTGTAAGCTTGCCCAGGAGTAAAACCACTGCAGAGTTACCAAGAAGTACATATATTTTAATGCTTTCTACTGTTGCCTGTATAGTCTCCATTAAAGTGAATCAAGAATAGCAATTTAGAATGGTACATAAATGAAAGCATGTTGTTTACCAGGACACTGTGGGTTTATATTGATGTAACATGTTGATTTGGAACACTGGAATTTCATTTGTATTTTTATGTTCTTTTTTTAAAGGGCAGTTTCCATGATCAGCAGTCCCAGAAAAATTCCTTCAGTTACATAAATTTTGTTTGTGAGATGTCGTTGCCCCATTCATAAATCTTGTCTCGTTGCGGTTCTTCTGAATGGTATAAGCAACTTTCAGAGATGTGGTCTTTGAAAGTTTGAGGAACCCGAACTTTGGATATTGTCATGTTTTCACTGTTTTTTGTTTTTGTTTTTTTAACTAAAGCTATATAAAGCTTGTGGATTAAACAAAATAAATTTCTAAATTTAAAGAGATGTTGGCTATTTTTATATGAACATTTGCATTTGCTAATCAGCTTTCTTTTGTACAGGGTTGTCAAATACACAGATATTGTTTGATCCAGTATACTGGCTTTTTAAAGTGGGGCTTTTTGTTTTTAGCTTTCCTACTGGTAGCGGAAATAGCCCTTAGTTAATTCAGTGATGTTCCTGTTGTGTCTGGATTGGTGTTCTTGCAAAGCAAGAGTAAAACAAGCTACCTGGCCAGCACGGTGTTAGGATGGTTAAGTTAAATTAAAAAAATAGAAATAAATCGTGTGTTAAAATTGCTTGCCATAGCAAGTAGAATGCTTCAAGCTCCTGCTAAAAATATCTCACTCTTACGTGAGAAGTTTGTATTAATTTAGCTAGCTTTGCTCATGTGAACACTGGTTTAAATGCCCAGCTAAGGGATCCTGTTGGCACACTGTCTTTTTCAGTCATATCTGAAACTTTTGATTGCTGCTGTCCAATTTTCCAAAAATTCAAGTTCTGGTTCTGAAATCAAGTCACTTCTGAATAGTCTAAGACTCCTCAAGAAGAAAGAATAAAATGTGCTTTGAATTTTTTTTGTCCTGCATCTGAAATAGATGTGATGTTCAGAATTAAGTGTAGATATTTGATTAGTCCTTTTACTTGACATCGTAGTGTATAATAAACTCCAAGAACTTTCTGGACAAACACATTTTAAAAAGTCCATCTGAGTGAATTTGGTGCTTGTGAAACGAGAGAACCTAACCAAAATGTTACGCTCATCTCAGTGCCTCCTCCACTTTCTTTCCTGCGTTGGTGGTTGTTCCTTGCCACAAATGATTGTCTGAACAATTCAGCCTAGGAGGCTGTGCATGTGCAGTGTTTCCAAGGAGTTAATGCTTTGCTCTTTTATCTCATTTTTAAGATTTTTTTTTGTGACCTGTTGGTCTCAGTCTTCAGAATAGTAGAAATACTACTGGCTGCTTAGCTCTGCTTGTTGCTCTTTCATCTCCTACATCTGTCACCACATTTTGAAAAGGGAATTCACTGATTTGGGGCAGGTTATGAAAGAAGGCCAGAACTTTAGTAAATTTTATTAGGTGTCTTAATCCCACACCATTCCCCAACCCTGCCCTTGAGCTTTTGTTGTAGGGGGTCCTGCCTCTACCTTTTTTTTCTTTTCCTTCTTTGTAGCTTCTATCAATAAGGAAATGTTTAGGTTTGAAAAGAAGAACGCTCTGCAGGAAGCGTTCCTCCTCCCTACCTAGTTTAGTTTAATTTACTTCCTGCTCAGGTATCACACTGCATCCAAACACCAGTCAAGGGGTAGCAAGCAGTTATTTATTGAAATCTGTTTTTTCTGCTTTTTCTGTTTCTTGAGCTGTTGTACCATTTCTTACTGCCTTGAAGGGGACTGTGTGGCTTTTCCGTACGCAGTCGCGTGCTGTGGAGCTGCGTCCTTGGAAATGCCATTTTTTGTCCTTTTCTTTGCAATTCTGCAACTGTCAGGTTGGAATGAGACCGTGTGGGCTCCCGTGGACAAGGCGGCAGAACCGGCCGCGTGGATCTTGCTCTGTTCATTGGGGCTAGTCAGGGCGCCCTTCCTGAAAGGGCAGATAAAGGGGTTTGTGTAAAGGCCCTGCTGGAACAACCCTATCTCACTGCACACACAAAGAGTGACTTTAATTGAACTGTGTAATTAAGATGAGTCCTCAGGGGTGAGTGTGGGGATGAAGTGAGTCACTGGAGTTCAGCAGCATTAGTTGGTAGTGAAGAGGGATCTATTTGTTACGTCAACAGCTGTGACAATAGCAAGGGTGTGTGCCATAGGTTGAAGTTTACAGTAACTCACTGGTGGACCATTATACTTTTCCACTTAGGTGATTATTTTTATTTATTTTTTGGGAAGCTGCCTAGTGAGTTTTGTACAGAGCAGCTTCCCGAGCTTCACCGCTGCGGTTCCGTAGCCTGACACTAGGACAAGGACTGCTCTCCCTGTGTTCTGACCGAGCTCCAGTTCGGGTTCGTCAGCTCTCTGGCCTTTGGGCTTCCTGCCGCCCCTTTCCCGGGAGCTGGGAGCTGCTTGTTTGCTATGGAGTGAAGCAGAGGCCGGGGTTGTCCCTGCCGCAGTGGGTGGAGGGAGCTGGTGTCCTGCATTGGCCACTCTTATCTGGACTCCGCGTTGCCGAAATCACAGTCAGCTGCTTAAAGCACAGCAGGAACTTGGCCCCTCTCCTCCTGTATTTCGTTCTTCGTACATCATGCTCGAACTCTAACAGGTACCACAATCTTTGTTTCCGTTTCTGGTTTAAATAACCAAGTTTGACTTCGATTCCGTTTCTGTTCTGAAGTGAATCGATAGCTCTCCTCCCGGTAAGAGGGAAGCGGAGCTGTGCTCAGAAACGCCCGCGCCGCTCCTCGCCGTGACTCACGCTTTGCTTACTTGGTTGCTTGGAGGCAACGGCCTCGGAGAGGTCTGGGCGAGGCCCTTGTGTGCGGGATCCTGTGCCCGGCTGAGCCCTCGGGAAGGGGCCGTGTCCGGGCGCTGCGCACGCGCCCGGCGCTGCTCCCCTGCCCACGCACTGCGGATTCCGCATGGAGCCCTCGGCAGGCGGCCCGGGCCTGCGTTCCGATGCCGCCGGCTGCGCCCCTGCTCCGCGGCTCCCCTTTTCCTTCCGGCTCCAACCTCCTTGCGAGCCTTGGGCCCTGCCGCCCGCGAGGCGCTTTGGGATAACGCGGAGAGCGGCACTGCAGGGCACGGAGCCGGCCCGGGCTGAGCTGGGCAGCACGAGGTGTTCGGAGCCCAGAGCAATTATCCCGGTGATTCCAGGGCATGGATGCAGAAGATTTAAAGGGGGAGAACTCCCCGTGGATTCCTGCTCCCTTAGGGGGCCCTCATGTGTCTGCCCTGGCTTGGGCTGTTCTCAGGGGTTAACAGGAGCCTCGAGAGCCCCAGACGGGGCCGTGGCAAAACCACAAGGCTGAAGAGGCGAGGATTAAAATTGCAAAAGCAAAAAGCGGGTGTTTAGAAATACCAGAATTTCAGCCTGGGCTGGTAGAGCGTGAGCCACGAACGACGGCGAGAGCCGACGGAGGGTTTGGGAAAGCCCTGGGCCGGTCCTGCCCGTGGGATGCTCCCTGTCACCAGGCTCCTCGGCCACCAGCCCCGGCTCATTCTGGTGGTTTTTCAGTGGGGATTTGGGAGGTTTGGTGCAAGCCCCGTCCTGCTGCGGCATCGCGGGGTCTGCGAGGTTTGAAGCAGCTGGCGGCGGTTGGCGGGGGGGGAAGCCGTGGCACCAGGAGCTCCCTGGGGCGGCCCCCGCCTCCCGCCGCTCTCGGGCTTTTCCTCTTGTGCAAGATGGAAAACCAGGAGGAAATATAGGTGAATTGGGAGGAAATTCAGGTAACACCTCATTTAACCCCTGATCCACCCCAAGGTGGTTTCCTGACTTGGGCAAAAGCAGCTGCTTTAGTGTTTTAGCCAAATTGCTGCTTTATCTGTGCAGCTCTGTGCATCTCCCAGAGACTCAATTTACAGGGAATGAGCTAAGGATCTTAACGCGCTTCCAACCCTGCACAGGAAAGGTTGGGGAAAGTCGGATTTTCCTCAGGCGGGGAGGGAGGGGGGTTGCGTTTCGACCGCGCTCAAGGAAGCAGGACGGAAACGCGGCCCGCGGGAGCTCTCACGCCGGGAGCCGGGAAGCAGAATCCAGGCGGTTCCTGCAGGGAAAGGGGCTGGAAATGAGCTGCCTCGGACAGCTGGCGTCGCGGGGAGGCAAAATGAGCAACAGCCAAATATTTCCATCGCGGGCAGCTGACGAGGCAGGGAGCCAACAATCCCGCGCTGTGCCTGGGTGGGAAATCGCGGCTCACGGGTTTCCCTGCGAGGAGGCGACGGTCGCGGCGGGGCGGCCGCTTCCCTCCCGCCCGGACAAGGCCGCGGGGAAGGATTTCTGCAGCCTTCCCGCCTGGAGAGGGGCCAGGGAGCCCGGATCAGCCCGGAAGGAGCTCGCTGGTGTTGTGGAACCAGGGAGGTTGTTTCTGCTCTTCTTCTCACAGGCGCCTGTGAGCAGGTTCTTCTCCCGGCTTCATCCCCCGTTGCTGCAAACTGCTCCAACGCGCCCGGCTGCTCGGGCGCATCCTGCCTCCCAAACTGCCCTAAAAAGTCTCTTTTCCCTAAGCATTTTCCTTATGCCTAAAAGCTGGGGTGTTCATGCAGAGCAGAACGGAATTTTTTGCAGAATTTTCCCCCTGGGAAATAAAGAGCCGGTTTTGCCCCCTGGGGCCAGCGGCAGCGAATTCCTCCAGCCGAGCTGTGATACGTTTAATATCCGACGCCTTCGGTTTCCAAAGCCCTTGGAAAGCTCAAGACGGAAAATTGCTGCATAAAGGCCAAACGCACTAGAGAAGTGGAACAATAACACGCGGCGCTGCTGTTGTGCCAAATGGAAACGAGCCTTTTTGATACAACTTAAAATAATATCGAGGGAGCGACCCGCTGATCTAAGCATAGGCGAGGGGCCGAACTGCTTTCTTCTTGTTCCTTGACTCAATGCAGATTTAGTTTTGAATAAATCACTTAACTTCTCTGGCTGACAGCTGTAGAAGGTGGGTAATACTGAGGTTCTTAATAGATTATTGCAGGGATTGGTTATTTTGTGAAACCTGGGCAAATTAATTCTAAGATTTTGCTGCAAAAGTCTTGCAGAATAACACAACCAGCAATTACAGAGCAAGGAAACAACTGTGAGCGTTCAGCATCCAAACTGCAGTGAGCATCACTAGAGAAAGAGGAAAGAGCTTTAATTTGAATGTAGTGAATTGAGGGGTTCGGTAGGAGCCAGCTGCAAACCAGGAAAAAGTTATCTGAAAGTGAAATAGCTTAAAAGATACTAAGAAGCAGACAAGGCTGGTGCAGCTGGATGTAAATGGAATAAACTAGCTGTTAAGTGGCTGGCGAGATAAGAGCATGTGAACTCCTTCATCCCAGCAGAAATTCCAGAGAAAGGGCCCTGGCAGCTCATTTGCACTGTAACACCTAAGGAGGCCCCGGGTGTCCTGCAGACCCCTCATTTGCTGCCCTGGGGGAGCTGTTTGCTTGCACCGAGCCCCTTGTTGTGTTTTGGGGAGCTGAGGCGCTAATAAGACTCAGTTTTGGCAAAACGCGGTGATTTGGAAACTTCTGTCCCAAGCAGGTGGGGAGGCATCGCGGATAAGGCCTGGCCCATAGCCTGGGGGCAGACGGGTTCTCACCCCAAAGATGGGGACTCGGCTCGCGGCCT